TGATGATGATGATGATGATGATGATGGTGATGATGATGATGATGATGATGATGATGATGATGATGATGATGATGATGATGATGATGATGATGATGATTATGATGATAGATTCTGAGTGAAAATATATTCTTAGAGAACAGTGCAGTTTTAAAAAATCATGATAGTGTTATATCCCCGCCCCCCACAACCTCCTATACCACTTTTGACCCTGAGTGGATGACAGTGCCAAACTGGGCTGAGAGGGATAGCTTCCAACAACAACGTTCCAAAAGAAAGATGGACATACTTCGCTGCCTCAGAATTACAAAGTTCTATCTGCTCAGTATCCAGTTTTGAGAAATTTGGCGTCAAACATTTCGAGTTTCACAACATGTCAAGCTTTTTTGAATGCAACTCTTTGAATATCTTGGTAACGACTCCGAATAATATTACGATTTTGATAGAGCAGAAAGAACACGTGGTCTAGAGGTTAAGGTGTTTACCTCTTATTCAGTAGGTCCCAGGTTCGAAATCGGATAGCGACAGAAACATTTTCTTCTCTAAAATGTTCTCCTTTCACATGCTTTCCTGCTCTCTAGCAATGTTCTGTTGTCTGCTTTCATCTCCACTTTCTGCTCCAACCCAGTCACCCTCTTTGCCCCTTCCTCTGGGCTCCTGACTCTTTCTGCAGCCTTTCTACTGCTTCTCCATCTTACTGCTTTCAGACACACCCCTGATCTTATGGTAGGAAAGATCTACACCTAGCCTTCTCGGACAAGGGCGAAAAACCTCGGAGGTCCCGTTTGCAAAATGCGCACGTTAAAGATCCCTTGGTGGTCGAAAATCGATAGGAGCAGGCTTCGGCCGCCACCCGGGCAAAATTCACAATTTCCTACCAACTGAAAATGTTTACTGTGTCCCGGGCGCTCAAACGACCTTACGCAGTTGCGAGAACAGTAAAACAATTACAAAAAAGCCACAAAACAAAAATAACAAAAAAAAAAAACACACAAAAAAACTTGATGACAATTCTCCGCACACGGAACTCGAACTCACGCCTTCTGTGTGTGACAGCACAACGCTGTACCTCCGCACAACAAACGCCAGTCCACCAGTTCCAGTTTCCGGCCGTCCATTGCCATCTCCTGTTTGGTACGACTTGAAGTAGATGAATTCCTGTCACAAATGGAAGTAAGTACATTCGTGATTGAAGGACGTGGGGGTCACCTGGTGTCAGCGGAAAAACATAGCGACAAAATGACCACCAAAGTTTCGTGACTTCCAAAGCTTGAGAGTCCTTGAATCTGCAAATTTACATTGTGTGTGTGTGTGTGTGTGTGTGTGTGTGTGTGTGTGTGTGTGTGTGTGTCTCTCTCTCTCTCTCTCTCTCTCTCTCTCTCTCTGTGAGTGTGTATGTGTGGAAAATCTTACCGAAATGTGTTTTTATATGGACATAAAAAATCGGTTAAAATTACCCACCGGACGGGAACATGACTGATATTTTCGCTTTCATTATTTTGACAATTGCTTGATTTCACCACAATGCCTGTCACAAACACCTGTAGTTTGTTTACCTGTCACTTTCCCATCACCTGTCTTACTTTTTTAATGTTTAAACCTCGACGGTTCAAGAAACCCGTATGTCAAATTTGTCTAAAATCGACTTAAATTTTTTTTTTTATTGTTGTTGCTTTTCCGTGGCTGCAAATCTTTCACCAACGCATACATTTTATCCTTTCTATGTGAGGATTGGACTTTAAATAAGCTATTCACAATCCGAAACCCATATCGAAAAGATTATGTGAAGGACAGAGAAAGATCTGCTGCTGCAGGAAACAAGCAAACAAACAAAAAAGTCAATTTGAGAAAAATGTTGCATACTGGTTTCTTGAACTGAACCGTGGAACTGTTCTTTTTGGTGGGAAAAGTCCGGAGAAAAAACTTTTCTTCAAACGTTCTTCAAAATATAGTTGTTTGTTAGTTGTTGTTTTTTACTACTGATAAGTACATTTTTGTTTTTTAATTCATCAAGGCTAATAATGTTATTAAGTGGAGTCATATCACGATCTGATGTCACAGTGTTTATGTTTACTGCTGGGAACGCCCTGTCCTTTTATGAGAAATAAAATTATGATAAAACTGCTATGATGACGAAGGTCATTTTCCTTACATAATAAGCGAGGCATCGCGGGGAAATCAGGCGGTCGTCAAAATAATGAAATCGAACAAATCAATTTTTTTTCCGGTCGAATTCTTTTATCTCATTTTATTCAATTTTTTTTTTCTCAACAGATTTTATGTCTATTTAAAAACATATTTCTGAGTGGTAAAACACACACATACACACACACACACACACACATACACACAAACACACACACACACACACACACACATACACACACACGCACACACACACAAACACACACACACACACGCACACACAATTATATTCATTTTTGCAGTTTCAAGGACTCTCAAGCTTTGGAAGTCACGAAACTTTGGCGGCCATTTTGTCGCTAAATTTTTCCTCTGACACAAGGTAACCCCCCACCGCCTTCAATCACAAAATATCTACTTCCATTCAAGACAGATGGATACCTTTTCATTTTAAAAATCCCAACAAGAGAGATGAACGAGCTTCAAGATGGTGCCCAAGAATTGACGAGCGCTTGATTCCACTGCGTCGCGAAGCTTTGTCTTATTAACTCATTTTTCCTTATTACAGACCAATTTCCATTCCTTTGACCAACGTCCGCTTTTCACCATTGCACTCAGAAGATATGTGAAGCAGCGTGGTGGAATCAGGCTCTCGTCAAAATAATCAAAGTGAAGAAACTTGCATTTTTCCGCAGGTTTGTGGATTTCTATAACATTTTTGTTTTTTGGCTCGACACCTTTCCTCAGGCTGACTTGTTTGACAGGGTAATCAAAGTGAAACGGGATCAGAATCAGATATGGCCTGTAGATATCACACAAGAATCTTACTCGAGGCGGCGACTCTGAGTTGTGAATGAAAACAAATCCGGAATTCAGATTGTATGTTCAACCGCCAAAATAATCGGGAAAGTATCTTATTAAATATCAGTTCCAACTAAAACTAAATTTAACTTTAGATGTGAATACATAAACACAAAACAAAGAAGCAAAGATGTCAGTACTAGATCTATATGTTATAGATCTACCAGTGAGTCTAACTCTTTGGTAGAACATGACAATGATCATTTTTTAAATTTCACATTTGGCTGTTTTTGTTAGCCTTTCGCGGCCAGGAGCTGGTGTCATAATCGAGGTCACGATCTGATTATAGGACGGTAAAAAGTCGAGGAAAAAAAGCAAGCACTTGCAACAATGAAGAGATTGTTAGGAGTTAGTTCCCCTCACATTTGTGAGGTAGACTCGACCAGTGTTAGTTAGCTTAGATAATCCGGGCTTGTGATTGATTATAACTGTGGCCCCAAAGGGGTGAACAGGGTATATGCGGCAATGAAACAGCTTTGACTGCTATGCACATGTTCCCTTCAACTCTATTGGTAAACTCTTCCAGCCTCACTGTAAGCTTACTTAATCAAAGCTTGCGACTGCTTATGGAGTGGCCCGAGAGGGGTGAGGAGGCTATTTCTGTGGCCGTGAAACCGTTTTGAATGTTAGGCATACTGTTCATTGTTGATTACGAACGTTTTTTTACATTTAATTTAAGAGGTTTACGTTTAAGAATGAATTTGACAGTGACAATGTTTCGAAATTAGAAAGGGAAGCAGTGATTATTTGATTATATAGACGCTTCGCCCCTGTCTTTCATGCCCATTAAAGAACTAATTTCTGCGTGGAATTTTCTGAAAAACGTTGGTTAAAGGCCCAAATTTAAATTTTCAGTTACCACGGACTCTTAAGCTAAGGAAATAACTAATCTTTGGCTGCCGTTTTCTCACTTAATTTTACCTCTGAAAACAGGTGACCCCCACCTCCTTCACTCACAAATATCTCGACTTGTATTCAAGATATATGGATATTTTTTTCATCCAAATAAAGACAAGTGAACAAGCTTTAAGATGGTACCATTAAATCTATATGCCCAGAAATTGACGAGAGCCTGATTCCACCACGCTGCCTCACATATGAGCTTTATTCCCGAGAATAAACTGCTGAGACTGTTTCTGAGTGTACTATGGTCTGCTGGGGTAATAATATAGTGTAATGCGCATGGAGTTTGCTTTCGAGTGGGGACATGCGCTATACAAATGCTGTTTATTAATTATTTATATTATTATTATTATCATTATTATTATTATTATTATTATTATTATTATTATTATTATTATTATTATTATTATTATTATTATATTTATTACAATTTTTTCTTTTATTTCTTGATTGGGAGGTGGGGGATGGGTTAAATCGAGCATCTGTGTCTGTGCGGTTGGATATTACATATGTTCACATGACGTATACTCCATTCAGTCACGGTTGACCTTATAAACTAGGAGGAAGGGTGGAAGTAACCCGGCCCCTAAATTTTGTTGATGAGGACGCATATATGATAGATTATGTCTGTTGCGAGCGCCGTAAAACATTTACAAAAAAGAAAGGAAAAAAAAAAGAAAAAAGGATTATATGCCTTTCATTGGGATCGATGGAAACGGGTTCGTGTCAACTCATGAACACAAAATTTATTAAAATTCATATTTGTATTCGCTATTCCTATCGATTCCAATCCGAATTCCATTAAGTTTAAGGCTTAAGTTTTCACCAGATTCGGTCGTAATCGTAGATTGGTTTTAACACACCGTTTTCTCAATTGAAACCATGCTTGACTACGGAGCAGATGGCTCTGGGTCGAATCTCCAATGGGACCTTCTGATCTTAAGTAGTTTTTAAAAAAAAATGAGTTTCAAGTTCTCCGCCCCTAGCTCAATCCTATTAGAGATGGACTGCAAATCCGGAGGCACCCACCTTTTACATAGAATTTATTGTGTTGAAAAGGGCGTTCGACCTATACAATATCGCATTTTAAAAATTGTTTGTTTTATTTGTCATGATATTCCCTACATCGATATCTCTATTTTTTTCCTTTTTTGAATTTTGAATCTGTGATCAATCTGCTCTCAGGTGTAAATGGTATAATATACATGTATGTAAATAGACAGATAGATAGATAGATAGATGGATAGATAGATAGATAGATAGATAGATAAAAAGTGAGGGAGGGGAGAGAGAGACCCAAAGAGAGAGAGGGAGAGAGAGTGAGAGAGAGATGGAGGGAGGGAGGGATACAGAGAGAGAGAGAGAGAGAGAGAGAGAGAGAGAGAGAGAGAGAGAGAGAGAGAGAGAGAGAGAGAGAGAGAGAGAGAGAGACGAATGAACGAACACTCGTGCACACGTGACAGGAAGTTCCAGGTTAACCGACCTCGAAAAGTGCACCTGATGGCCTTGACACTTGACACTCCACGAAGGTCGCACCACAAGTGAAGTCGTGCACCGACCAGCCCACCAAACTGATTGTTCCTCTAGTCCCCTGTGACCCACGCACCACATAGAAGAACTCGGTCACTTGACAGCTCGTATGAGACCAAAATTAGAAGTCAGTAGGTTGTTTTTTTGTTTTTGAGATAGACGCCATCTGATTATCTAGTAGAAGAAGGTGCTTATGACAGGTTGAATTAAATGGTATATGTTTTTACGCCCCTATCAACACTATCAGGTCACTCAAGAGGCGGAACCTCCAAGTTTAACGTCCATCTTCGAAAGAGCCGAGAAAAGTGGGAATTTCGTGTAAAGTGCCTTTCCCAATGACACAACGTCGGTTATGATATTGTCCACTAGTGTATTACGTATAAATGTTATAACATATAATAGACAAATATTCAAGGAATGCAGGTGAATGTCAACGATCTGACAGCAATGATTACTTTAGACATATATGTGGTTGTGAGTGATGATATGGAATCGTGTTTATCAGTATGTAGTAATGTTAGCGTTAAAGTCTTTTTTTTTTTTACGTAAGTGTTTTACGGCGCTCGCAACTGCACAAGGTCATATGGACGCGCGGGACACACCAAACATTTCCAATTGGTAGGAAATTGTTTTTGGATTTTGCCCGGGTGGTGGCCGAAATCTACTCTTATCGATTTTAGACC